TATCATAACTCGATGATTATCCTATCTCAATAAATAGAGAATCAACATAGTATTATGTACGGAGTGTCTCAACGTCTGATCGATTTTGCACTATTTTTTATTTCACGGATATAAATGATATCAATTTTAACTCAATGTTAACTCAGACTCAACTCCTATCATAACTCGATGATTATCCTATCTCAATAAATAGAGAATCAACATAGTATTATGTACGGAGTGTCCAAACGTCTGATCGATTTTGCACTATTTTTATTTCACGGATCAGAGAAATTCAAATAAACCTCCATGTATCTTTATTTATAACTTCTAAAGGGGCCGTTCATTTTTTATCAGGGAGGTGGAATTTAGGGGGGTCAGGAAAATAAAACAGGTCCTGTGAGGGGGGGGGGGGGGAAATGTCGGTAGCCAGTTAAAATTTCAAGGATTTCTCGCTAGTCAGTTAAAATTCTAGGCATTTGTCGGTAGTCGGTTATTTAAAAAAAGTTGATAAACATTAAGTTTAAATGCATCTAAAAACGGTGCTTTATACCAACAGAATTCTTTCTAAAATGCCAACAATTGAATCCTTGAGTCTTGATTGGTCAATTGTATGCCCCTCAAAGTTTTAGAGTGGCTCATCACAACTTCAAGAAGCCAATCCGAAGCAAAATTTTTTTTTTTCGCGGAAAATTTCGAATGTAGTTGCTTGAAAAATTAAAAAAAGCTTGTATTCACGGAGCTAACATCTTTAAATATTGGAAAATGTCGCCAGTCAGTAAATTTGTTAATGTCAGTAGTCAGCAAAGTTTGTTCACATTTAGTGTCGCTAGTCAGTTGTTATTTTGTCCATTTGTCGCTAATCGGTTAACCCCATTCAGACCCTGTGTACCGTGTTTGCATTAGAGTATGTAACATGGTTTCGCGTCACCATTTTTCAAAACTAGAAAAAGAATAGGAAAAACAATMAGCTATTTCAAGCGAAACAAAAGAAAACTGAAARAAAAGCTAAAAACATAACACAAAATAAWATATCATTTTGGATCAGACGGTTTAATTTGTTGAACATTTATGGCACTACACTAAGCCAAAACACAAAATTTGTTATTATAAACGTTATCCATCTCGCTGCTGTTAAGTTAGTTGCTTAGGGTCAATTACGTATGAGTGGGACACCGTTACCGCACAGTTACCGCACAGTTACCGTACCTGGCCTGCACAGTTTTTTTGAAGCAATGGGACACTAGAATTTGGTTACAGTACGATTACGGTCACAATACAGTACCGTCCGTTTCCCACTCATACGAAATTGACTCTATTACCGTGAGTTCCATTCAGATAGAGCGGATTTCGCATGAGTGGGACACCGTTACCGCACGGTTACCGCACAGTTACCGTACCTGCACTGCACAATTTTGGTGAACCAATGGGGCACTAGAATTTGGTTACAGTACGATTACGGTCACAGTACAGAACCGTCCGTTTCCCACTCATACGAAATCCGCTCTATATTTCTTTTAGAATACTTTAGTAAAACCGTGAAAATTAGTAATAATGATACAGTACCAATGTTTCACGGTTTTACTAAAAGCACTTAAAAAGAAACATTATATATGAATGATACTCGATCTGGTAAACAACTATAAGCAGCATTTATCTGACATAGTGTTCATTTTCTGCAGTCCTACCCATCTACCCATCTTCAACAAGCTACATTTGGTTGTAGATCCTTCACATACAGTACCAATGTTTCACGGTTTTACTAAAAGCACTTAAAAAGAAACATTATATATGAATGATACTCGATCTGGTAAACAACTATAAGCAGCATTTATCTGACATAGTGTTCATTTTCTGCAGTCCTACCCATCTACCCATCTTCAACAAGCTACATTTGGTTGTAGATCCTTCACGGGTATAGTGTCAAAATATAAAATCGTGGCCAAAGAGAACGCGCAGTAACTTATGGATTTGTGCCTTTACTAAATCATGGATGTATTGGTTTATTCTTTTGGTCATGCTGGGTGAGATTGATAAACCTGTCTGGCCTTTAACATGTTGGGCCTAGCGCAGTGACAATTTTGAAGTTTACTGTTGTGGATCAAATTTTGTCCTGGATTTCCTGACCGAACAAACGCACCAGAWTTGATCCTTGAATTCATCGATGACAACTTTCTTTGATAAAACAGACAAATGCTTACGTGGTATGAATGGTACTTATTCTAATTACTGACTAAAAGACATCATCTGTCATCGATTTCCAGCCAAAACCGTTTGTTCACCAGTTCAAGTATGGCTGSGTGTCCTAGAAAGCGAGAAACAAAATACTCCTGGTTGGTTTGTGTTTGTGCTGCAATAACAAACGGTATGACGTCTTCTGTGTTTTTTAGCTTTGGTGTTTTTCTACCTGTCTTCATGAAAGCGTTTGATGAAAGCAGAGAAAAAACAGGTAAAAAGTTTMTATCTTTTCCGCCAAAAAAATGTTTTGAATCACAATTATCAACACTGTTAGTGGGATGGATAGTCAAGACTTCTTAAAAGTGTGGAATACTCGACAAGCAATTGCAGAATCTTGCGAAGTGTTAAATGTGAGACAGAGTAAATAAAGGAGCTTGCATAAGTGCATCATAAGATACAAAAGCCGCTCTGCTATAGTTTCGACATTTCATTGTTTCATAATAACACCGACATTAGTAATTAAAGACCCACCGTCATTCGAGATCCTTTGCGCGCTTTTATTTTTGTTTTGATTGTCATGATGTCGAGGCTTGCGCTCGCGTTCACTTGTCAAAGTCAGCGGGAAAATGTTTTCGTTGAAGCCAAATTTTCTTCAACGAGCATGGAGCAAGAAAATCAAGGGAATGTAATTAATGTAAACGCTTATAGGTCATATTTAGAAGACTCAAGGTCTTCCCAGCTCTTCTGAGGTAAGAAAATCCGACAACTCGGGTATAAGTTGAAATTCACGGCCAACTTACACCCGAGTTATCGGATTTTGTTTTCAAAATGAAAGCTTTGTTTTATGCTCTATTAATAAAAGGTCTGTGATACTAGGTCTGTGAATGAGAAGCACAAAGTAAAGATGATCGATAAACAAGAAAATTTGGACTACAAAAACCGACTAGAAACTATGATCAATGTCTCAAAATACAACAGATTCGGCCGGTACCCGAAGCCGGAATGCCCAAAATGTCTACCGAACGGCGATGCCATGTCCAATTCACCTTCGCTGAAGCAAGTGTTCTGAAAACTCGCTATTGAGCCCCTTTCAAAGCCCAGGTTCTCTTTTGTATCTCTCCAAACACGTAACACCGAGTCCTGTAAGCGGATGGTTTTTATGAAACCTGGGAGCTTCGGTCATCCATTCCGTCGAATGTCTTGCCGCCATCTTGATATCCAAGATATTCACAATCTTATTTAATGTTCTTTTTACATTTTTTAGAAAAAAAATATTACTTGAAATACACAAATTAATATGCAGTTGATTGATTGATAACAAAAATTCGTTAGAAAAACAAAGGATTGCTTGGATAAATCAGGATTGAAATACTCACTCTAAATTTTCATAATTTCGTGTTACACGAAATTCAAGCAGAGCGCGCAAAGGATCTCGAATGACGGTGGGCCTTTAATAATTTCTACATAAACACATGTTCGACCTAAGATTGACTTAAATAATTTTGTTTATCATATGACATGACCCGTATTTCGGCCCTACGCGCGCTCTCACTGAAACCTTTGGAAAATGGTCACGTGATGGGGTCCGTACGCCTTTTCGCGATAGGTCCGTACAAATCCGTATTTTCCCGGCTTGAAGTTCCGCGCGCTTTTATTTATTTTTTTACATTAAGAAACGCTGTCAATATGATAAAATGCTTATTGACTGAGTTAGGTCGGGCCGTACGGGAAAATATTTGGCTCTCGGTCATTTGTACGGACCTCTCGCTGCGCTCGGTCCGTACGGCATAACCTCGAGCCAAATATTTTCCCGTACGGCCCTCCCACTCAGTCAATAAGTACATAAAATTTGGTTGACAAATAAACGATTAAAGTTGATGTGGCTTCCTGGCAAAATAAACCATGCGGGAGAGTTGKGAGAATTCGAGAAAAGATCAGATGAACCGATAGTGTGGGTTCACTAAAACCACAGATAGCCCAAACTATGCACTTTAACCGTTTTAAAAATTTTGTGAAATGTCTACAAAGCAAATGATAGCAATAGKCTATTATTATCGCTATAGTGATATGGATCAAAAAGCTTGAAACTCCACAGGAATTCAAAGAAAACCACAATATATAGGTAGAGATGTTTAATTCAGTTTCATTAAAATTGTGGTAAATATGCATAGTTTGGGCTACCTGTGGTAAAGCGTCGACCGCTAATAGCCGACTTGCGAATTTCACCTCGGTAGTCAAACACAAAAGAATCAAGACGAGGCGTCGTGCGTAAAGCTTAGTCAATTGTGAAAAACTATTGTCTTTGAAATTGAATAAAAGAATTTGCATAAAATAGTACAAAATAATATTACTAATTTTTCACGGTTTCACTAAATGAACTCTCGTTGAGCGCTCGTGGTACGGAAACCACGGTAAACTACGATGCATTTAGTTGATATAGTTTCTCATTACATCGACACGCTGTGCAATAATACAACGCCTGGATCCTTAGCCTTGGCTACTTCTTCGTCCGCAGGAAACATCGCTTTTCCATGTTTTACATATTTYGGGTTCCCTGTGGACAAGTGATAGGACTGACCTCGTCACTAGTTCCCGCATTCCTAAAGATAAAAGGCAATAACCGGCAAACCAGCGGCTGATAAAAAGGATATTACATTGGCGCGGAGATGCTTATTTTATCTTCGAGTGTTGAAAAGGTCTCTCACGAGTGRGAGATTTTCAACACGAGAGGATAAAATTCGTACTCCAAGCCACCATTTAATRTTTTATTTGTCACATAAATTTTGGATAGTTGCGCTAGGATTTGCGCTACCTCTTACAGCTCTCTTACAGYTCTTGAAAAATCTTTATCTTCATTTTTTTTCAGCTCTGCTGGGCTCTCTTACGTACTTTTTGGGAATGTTTCTTTGTCTTCTGGCTGGAAAGATTTGTAATCGTTACGGATGTAGAGTGTCTATCATCATTGGCACCATTTCATGTATAGCGGCTCTTCTTGTTTCTTCATGGGCCACAGGAATGACATATCTATTCATATCGTTACCAATTCTTTATGGTTTAGGAATAGCATTCAATCTTATGGCTTGTTTTTTAATGGTTGCCTTGTACTTTGATAAGAATCGTCATTTAGCTCTCGGATTTGTAGCTGCTGGGGCATCTGCAGGTTATTTTGTAGTCGCGCCCATAGCACAAGARCTGATYAGTTCCTTTGGGTGGAGAAACGCCTTAAGAATAGAATCAGGAATGCTTCTTTGTTGTGGAATAGCTACTATCATTGTATTTGATACCAACGTGGAAGCTGACCCAAATGGATGCGCTGATGCCTGTGATKCGAGCCGTTGTATCAGGCACGAGAAAAAATACTCTTGGAACAACCTAAAGAAAACTTTGAACTTTTGTAGTTTGTATTACAGTGTGTCTGTTACAACATTGTTTATAGTGTCTTTAAGTCATTATTCTCTTCCTATTCATCTGGTAAGTTTTTCTATAATTGTCAACTGCAAGTTGTACTCTTGTTGATGTTTTTTTTAAGGTTAAGTTTTCCGTTTTCGTTTTGCTGTGCCTTTGGTTGAGTTTTGTTTRTTATTTTTCTTTCGTATATTCAAAGGTTTTCTCTCTGTTTTTACTTTCTGATCGTTTGAACAGTAAAGGAAATGTCAACAATGGTCATGAAATTGATAGGTATCAACGGGTAATTTACAGTAACGTCGGCTCGTTTATTAATAAGGGTTTTAACATCACGTTTAAGGCAAACGGCTAACGGCAGAGCTGAACCAACGACCTAAGAATTTCGTGCCCGACCTTGTGCTTTTGGTAGTCATTTAAAAGAGCGGCTTTTCACGACGATTATGGCAACCTCAAAATAACCCGCTCTCGCGTTGAAACTGCAACGTTAAACTAAAAAAAAGCAGGTCACGTGATCTTTTCTGACGTTTGGCGTTTGCCGTGAACGTCATGCTAAACCTCTCTAATCTTATTAACCGAGCGCGAGTGCCGTACGGGAAGTTATGGACCGAGTTTTTTTCCACTGACTTATGGCCAGAGCGCGTAGCGCGAGGGCCATAAAAAGTGGGAAAAAAACGAGGTTCCATAACTTCCCGCACGGCTCGAGCAATCGAGGTTTATAAGACATTTATTATATAGCATTTTCAGGGAAAAATAGTAAAATTAATGAGAGAATCGGACATAAAAATACGTTTTTGTTTGTACTTTTCTTGTCACTCAAAATAGAAGAAAAAAAGAAAAGCCTGAGAAACCTSGATGKCAAAATTTGGATTCATTTTTGACTCTTTTTTATACAGTACAACTACAAAAAGAGAGAAAGCGAGCCTTTTTAAGATAAAAAACGTTTTATTCTCGTTTCATCTGGTCGGTACGGGAAAGTATGGCCCGCTGTTTAGCCAATGAAATCGTGTGTTACATCCGAGCTATATAGTAAATCGATTTATTTCGAGTTGTGTTGTTGACCGCCTCAAAATATTTTCTAATTTTTCATAATCCGTTGTCGCAAATTTTTATCAATTTTCTTCACCAGGTTCGCAGTTGTGAAGAAATAGGAATTTCCAGTTCAAAGTCCTCCTATCTGTACATAGGTATTGGTGTTGGATCGTTC